CCACAAGGCGACCGGGGGTGGCGGCGGCTGCTGCCTGGGCGTCATCCCGCGCAGAGAATCCGCAGGCTGGGCTGGTAGCAGGCGAGGGGGGAGGGGGGCCAGCCGGGGGCTCGGCTCTGAGCAACCCCTGTGGCCAGCTGCAGCAAAAGACTTTCAGGGCCTGCGGGCAGGGGGCTGGCTCCTTGGTGAGAGGAAGCCCATCATTCCAATCCGGCGAAAGACACTGGGGCACTGCGCTGGCCTCCTTTTAGGGATGATGAGTTGCCGGGGGCCAGGAGAAAGAGGCATGCGGTGTCCACCTTCAGCTGACAACCTAGAGCCACACTGGCTGCCTCCTGGCATAGTATTCTCTTTTTGAAGGAAAGAAAGCGAAAAGCTCCAACTTTGCTTTAGCTGCCAAGGCCTCTTCTCGTTTCCACTAAGGGCGCTTTGCCATATGATTGTCCACCCGCAGAGGCACGCGGGTGTGCAGGACAGAGCTGGACTCCCCAACAGGCCGCAAAGCCGTGCCTAAGCTCGTGCCCTCCTCCACCTTCCCGGTGGCCCACAGAGGGGGTGTGAGAAGAGGCTGCCTGCATTCCCCCCAAGCTTTTGCGGCTGCCCCGGAAGTCAGTCAGGAGCCAGGAAGGCGGCTGTGGAGGGAAGCCAAGAGCGGGGAGGCAATGTGAGAGAGGCTTCATCCAGGGTGTGGAGGGGCTGGCGTGGGAGCACTCGAGGGTGAGCAGAAAGGACCTGGTGGCCAGAGACCCAGATGGAAAGGGCTGCAGAAGGGCCCTAAGGAATCCAGCAGGCACCCTCCCAGAGCGGGGAGGCCTGGTCGCAAACAGCAATCTGGGAGCAGGGTGCCGTTGGTCTTAGTCCCAGAGGAGGGAAGGTCAGTTTTGCTCTGCATGAGACTTGCCTCTTACAGGAAGTGCATGGCCCAGCCTCCAGCCAGTTGCTAACAGCATAGAAAACGCAGATCATGGAGGAAGAGGGTCAGGACAAACACAATAGACTCAGGGATAGTCCTGCAAGGTGCCCATTTTATGGATGAGGAAGTGGGGTTCAAACAGGTTGGGGAACACAGCCAGAGAATGTGCATGTTCTGGGCCCCAGCCCCATGCATCAGAGGATTACGCAAAGAGCTCGCAGGCTGACTGTCTTCTAGGGATGAGCCAGCACGGTGATGACATACACCTTGACAGCCGCAGACCATGGCATTCCAGAGTCTCGGAGGTCTAAGCACTTGGGAGTGATCAGTCCCTGGACTCTTGCTCTGTGTCCCATACCAGAGGAGACCAAGTGCAGGGAACCCCAGCCTGGGGTGCTCAGCCATGACTGTGACAAACTCTGGGCTCAACTTCCTGCAGCCCACCTGCCCTACTCAGGTCTGTCAGACCAGGGGTCCAGGGCCCTGAGAGCCCATGGGTGGGGGTACATAGATGCCCTGACCTTTAGCAAACCACAGGGCTCTCTAAACCTGTTTCCTCACAGATTAAAAGGTGATAAGAACAAGCCTCTGGGTCTCTTGGGATTATTGGTCAGATGCAGAGTAACAAGAAAGCCCCAGGGAGCTGTCTCTTAATCGTTGTCAATAACTGGGAGCAGGCCTGGCAGCCAAACAAGACCCACTGGCCACGAGGAGGCAGGAGGAAGGAGAGCTGGAGCCAGGGCCAGATTCTACTGCTACAGACTTAAAGGCCTTGCAAGGCCTTTAAGTGATCGGGCCCTCTACCCAGTCCCTAGACCTTTCTCTCTCCACAGCATCCCGACCAGAATACAGACCCATGTCCCTGATGTGAATGGCTTTCAACCACTGCCCCTCTTTCCCCTCATGCTTGTCAAAGAGAAGTCCCTGGTCTGGCTCCATGCCTCGCTTGTGCGCTATGTAGGCATGAACCCTACAATCTGCTCCTGCACGTCTCCATGGGAGGGTTCTTCAAAGACCCTGGCCACCACGGCCAAATCTTGACTCAGTACCGCTGTGTGGCTTTTCTCTGCTCAGTGACCTGCCCAAGGCCAGCAGCCCCCCTGGGATCTGGAACAATGGTGTCCACTGAGGGACCTGAGCCCGCTGCCCTTCACTCTCCCTAGGGACATGTATGACCAACAGCACCTGCCTCTGCCCAGCTCCACAGTAAGCATGTCATGTTCCTGCTGCTGGGTGACTCTGTTCCCATGTCCAAACATGAGGTCCCAAAGACCACCTGCCCCATCTCGCTTCTTAGCCAGCTCTTGCTGGCTGTCTCCTCCTCCATAGCAGGGCAGGAAGAGTTTCCGCACGGCATGTGAGCATCACATAGAGCCTGGTGCCATCCCAGCTCTGCTCTGACCCAAGGTCACTCTGACCTGCCAAACCTCAGAGCTGGGCTCTGCAAAATGGGAGTAACAGCATGCATCTATCTGAGGGGCCCAGGCCCGGCCCGGGGATGTGGTCAGTAGCACCCATGTCTATGTGTAGGATTGATGTGTGTGTATGCCAACCCTCTCCTCCGAGCATCCTCCCTCCTGTAAGGTTCTTCAAATCTCACCATCGCCCAGGATAAACCTCAGCAATTCCTAACCTATCGGAGGACGTCTGGGCCCACAGCTGTAACTATGCCACTGTCTGGTCGTCAAACCTCAATGACTCTGTTCTATCTACTGAGTAAAATGCCAAGCTCATTAGTCTCTGATATTAAGAAGGACTGTTTCTCATTTCTCTTTCTTGCATCATTTCAGGCTCCAAGCAGCTCCCACCCCCCCCCTGCCGTGACCCCACTTGCTTTCATTCACGGATCTAAGCAGCTCCCATCCCCCACCTGCCGTGACCCCACTTGCTTTCATTCACGAATCCCAACTTAGATATTTTACCAGCTCAGCTACTCAGAGTCTCAGTTTCTCTGTCTCAAAATGGGGCAAAAAAATCTACCGTGTAAGGTTTATAAGGGGCAAGTGAGACAATGCCCATAAACACCCCAGTGAGGGCAGGCCCCTCTAACTGGGAGAAGCAGCCCTTATTAACATTCTCATGAACCCTCTTGTGCTGAGAGACCCAGGAGCAAAAGTCTCCTTTGCCCCTAAAGACATGAGCTCATGAGGGGCACTGACTTCATCTTATGATCACAGCAAATGCCCACAGCACCCCTCACAGGCCAGGCACCCCAGGTGTGGCCGGAAGCAAAGTGGGCATGAGCCTAAGCAAGGAGTTAAGTATGGACAAACAGGGTGTTGAGTGGGAGGCGGCTGGAGGATGAGCTTGGGGTTCCCAGTGAGAAAGGCTCTGGGAGATTCCCCAATCCCCAGTCAGACCCAGAGGGCGGGTACAATTTAGCACTGGTGGAGTGCCTGCTGCAGGTTGCCAGCTCAACCTAGGAAGCCAGAGGAGGAGGAGGAGGAGGAAGGCAGCCTCAGGTCCTTCTATCTTGCACTGTTAGAGCAGTTCATGCAACAGGAAGGGAAGAGTCATTCTCATCAAACAGGAATTTGAGTCTAGAATCTGTGTCGAAAAGGCACAAATCTGCAGCATCCCCCATCTCATGGAATCAGACTAGGAGATCTCACACTCAGGCCGTAGGAAGTGGCTTGCCTTCCTGGATACCAGAAATGCTCTGAGGCTCCTTCTGCCAGTTTAGGACTCCAGAACCTGCTCTGGGACATGCGGCAACCACATCCCATAGGAGCAGCGTGGAGATGTGGCGTCCTCATGCTGCCGCTGGAGATGTGCTGAAGGCCCTGTGAACCGGAGCCTGTCCAACCTTAGCCAAAGTCAACCACTACCCCCCACACCACCCTCTGTAGATCTGCTCTCCAGATACAACCCAAATGTGCCATGATTTAATCTCGTGGGGGCACTCCTTATGCTGCTCCTAGGGAGAGTCTTACCCAAGCCTCTGCTAGGGCCCTTCTCACCCCTAACTCACTAAGAATCTGAAGTACTGACTGTGGGCTCCTTGGGAATAGAAGCCATGCCTCGATCATTTCTGAATCTCCCCCTGTGGTACAATATCGACTTGCATTACAAGAAAAAAACGTAACCCAGCAGTGCTGTCTTCAAATGTGCTATTTGAGCAGGGAGGGGGCACCTTAACAGAAAAGTGTGTATGTCTCCTTTGCCCACTGCTTCCTGCAGCAGAAGCTGTGGAAGGTGAAGGGGGCGAGCACAGCATGGCCACACACAGCAGAGCAGGCTGTGCACAGCACAACTACAGAGGACACCATCTACATCATGACCATCATAGAACCATCAGCTTACAGTGGTAACTTCAGTACAGATGGAAGGAAAGTGTCTCTATGAAGACCAAGCACCTTTTTCTAGTTTCTGAAAAGATGGAGCACAGGTCATCAGCTGCTGTGAGGAAAGTAA